CAACCTCTCGCTTTTTATGCCTGTAGTATGCTGTATTGTAACTGTATACACTTGTCTGCAGGTCTACTTTCACTGCAGTGCTTCCGTATGTGTGCCATCTAACATGGACAGCTGTGTGGTCTCTTGTGGTGGAAGGAGAAGTGAGTATTATAGAAGGTCTCAGACTGACTGGTGGGGTTTTCACATCTGTCCCTTGCATAGGGCACCATTGTCAGCTTGATTTAGGGAAATATCTAAACAAAATTGCTATTTTTAGGGAGAATGGCTGAAGAGCAGGAGCTGCTGTCTCTGAAGAACACGGTGACATCTGAAGGACCTGTTGCATTTGTTTCTGTGGATAAAGAAATGCTAAAACTGGAAGGTAATGTCTTCATGATGTTGGATGTGTTTGGTGTACAGTTGTGATTCCAGACTTGTAACATTTCTCATTGTCTTAGGTGCTGATCCCTCGCAGTACTCCACTCTGGACCTGGCTAGAGCACTAGCAACTGCTGGAGTTATTGGCTTGGTGGCGGTCACTGTTGTAGGCCTGTGGCTCCATCGCAGGAGACAAACTTCTAACATGAAAGCTACAAATGCTTAAATAAGACTCTCAAATAAAAAAAACATTTTCTTCATTTTTGTGTTTTTTTAATTTTTGTTTAATCAAATGGCTGTAAAATATAATTTGTGGCATAACTGAAGAGTAGCTAAGATGCAGGGAAATGTTATCCGTTCTGCAACATATGGTGGGGGGTCGGTCAAACTTGGTTGCTATAGGCAGCTGATAACCTTCCTTTATGTTTACAGTCCATCAATGGAGCCTGGATGACTGAATCTGTTTTCCTGCCCACGAAAGCTGTTGGAGAAACTTTAAGATTTGGGGCTGGATTTGTAATGTAGTTGGGAACACTCAGTAATGTCCCTATGCTTGGTAAATAAAGGTTGTCACTGTCCAGTTCTGTGATCGCCAATCAGCATATTAAAACGCGTAGGTTTGTCACTGACAGGAGTGAGCAACATCTCCACTATGGACACATAATAAACCACCTCCAGCAAAAGCATTCTGGGTGTGGGGTGGGGGGTTAGGATTAGTCTCGCTAGTTGGCCTGACCTCCCTGGATCCATGCGTTATGGAAGAGTTTAATTTTAAGCTTAAAATGGACATGGGAATCTTAGTTTTGGGTTTTGTAAATGGGCTCAAGTCTATAGTCAGGACACTTCAGTCACTCATGGGCCCCCCCAACTAACTTTATTGTAGCTTTAGTTGCCTGTTTTTGACTACTGAAGGGAATAATCTTGCTTTTTGGCTGCAGGGGCGCCACTTTGGGTAATTTTGTGTAGTTAGTGTAGACTTGGAAAAGTGGTGGCGCAGCACATAAGGTACCTTCTACTTCCACACCCCTGCTCTGTTGCTAATCTCTGTAGGCTCAAATAAGATTATACAAGAGTACAGCGCTGAACGTCTTTCTATAATAAATATACGGAGATCAAAAACAGTTATGATCCCAGCGTGTGGCATTCATCAGAAAATGTATGATAAAAGTGTCAGTCACATCTATACAAAATAAAAGTGAGAAAACTGACAATGTGCAAAAGGATAATCATCCGAAGTGAAACAATGTGTAAAATATGACAAATGTATAGTAGATAAAATGTATCAAATATACCTTGAAAATTACAATAGAAATAAAAATAAAAACGGGTTTATATCTACGAAAGTGTTCAGAAGCGTGTAAAGTGTAAATTCAACACCCTATATCAAAAACACTCTGCATAAAAAAAACTGCATGAACAATATATAAAACCATATATGAAAAAGAACACTTTGCATGAAGACTGTTTAGTGATTCATTGTTAATAAACTATATGTATGTGGGTGGTCAAAATTAATAGTCTGTAAAAGTCTTAAAACCCCAAAAAAGGGGAACACACCCAGTGAAAATAGGGTGTGTTTCCAGTTCAGTGATGTGTCCAATGAAAATCCAGGCAAAAAAAGACCCAAGAAGATCCCCTCAAGGGAATGCACTCACCGGATCTCTGATGTTAAGCAGTTTGTCTCGTCAGATGGACCTGCCATCCCTTGAGAGTGTCTGTGATGAAATGCGTCGGTCGGGCCTTTTTTAAAAAGTCGTCATTCCAGTCTAAGAAGTCACGCTTGAGTGACGAGCCGGCTTTTATATGATTTTACCTTAGGGCTGTTTTGAAATAAAACCGGGAATTTATTACGCTATGAGCGTATTCTTCATTCTTCTTGCCTGGTCGGATATCTGATCCGTGGGACTTCAGAGGGTGGAAATCCCTGGTCGAACATCTCGGAAAAACAGGAAGTTTTTTCTTTCCCTGGAATCTCACTGAGCGGGAGAAGAGGAGACATGGCTCCCGTTTCCATCTGACGAGACAAACGGCTTTTTAACATCAGCGATCCGGTGAGTGCATTCCCCTGAGGGGATCTTCTTGGGTCTTTTTTTGCCTGGATTTTCGTTGGACAAATCACTGAACTGGAAAACGCACCCTATGTTCACTGGGGGTGTTCCCCCCCCTTTTTTGGGGTTTTAAGACTTTTACAGACTCAGTTAATTTTGACCACCCACATACATATAATTTATTAACAATGAATCACTAAACAGTCTTCATGCAAAGTGTTCTTTTTCATATATGGTTTTATATATTGTTCATGCAGTTTTTTTTATGCAGAGTGTTTTTTTGATATATGGTGTTGAATTTACACGTTACACGCTTCTGAACACTTTTGTAGATATAAACCCGTTTTTATTTCGGTTGTAATTTTCAAGGTATATTTGATACATTTTATCTACTATACAGTTGTCATATATTTTACACATTGTTTCACTTCGGATGATTATCCTTTTGCACATTGTCAGTTTTCTCACTTTTATTTTGTATAGATGTGACTGACACTTTTATCATACATTTTCTGATGAATGCCACACGCTGGGATCATAACTGTTTTTGATCTCCGTATAGTTATTATTGAAAGACGTTCAGCGCTGTACTCTTTAATATAATCTTCACCTTAGTGGCCTAGTGCCTGAGTCCAGCAGCTTTTCTGTACATTTTGTTATTCCTGGGTCACGTATTTATTCACTTATCATTTTTTTTAATTTGTATTTTATTTATTTAATTTATTTAATATATATTTTCCATTAGCGCAAGTTCTTGCAATTATAAAATAAGGATAAACTGACAGGGTTGTGATGAAGGCAAGGGCAGGTACCTTGTGTCAGGCCTTATTTGGACTCTAGGCAGAATCTCTACTATAGCCATAGAGTTGAGGACATCATGGGTAGCTGCAGGCTTCTAGAACTTGGAAAGTTCTTGGGTGTAACTACAGTCTTAGGGTGTATAGTTGGGCCAGGGCAGACTAGAAGTGGCTCTTGTGTCTTAGACTCCTGAAAGTACAGGAATATTATGTTACCTGTAATATGCCCTTTGCTCCTAACTTCCTATTGGTGTGACTCTCCTGCACTGAAATTGCAAGGTGTGGTGGGACTGCCCAGTGGGGTCTTTAGGGACTGGCAAATTCTAGAACATCGGGGGTGTAGTCCAAGGGACTCTGGAGAGCTGGTTACTCTAGCTGTATGTCAAGGCGTCAGTACAGGACCGCTGTTTATGCACTTGGTAGTGATCTGGGAAAACTGTATTGGGAGCTTAATGTATGAACTGCGACATGTGAGTATGGAAACTGGCTAATGTCAGCGCTGTCCAGGGAAATGAACAAATAAACCTTGTAAAACCATGTGGTAGTAAAGTGATTTCACTGACTTCAGGGGTGAAACGGATCAAAAGTATTTGACAGGTAAAACAAAGTCAAAGGGCCCATTCTATGCACATGCCATGTACCTGCACTTTACAATATTTTTTTTACACACGATTGCATGTTGGTAGGAATATGACCCTCAACAGTACTTTTCTCTGGCACATTTAGGGATCAAGACTTACTCTACAGAGACATTGGGTGGTGTAACGAGCCCCTGCTCGCTCGGTTCCACTCTCCCGGCACTCCTCTGCTACTATTGGATCAGATGTCAGACCGCACGTCTGATTCTTCGATCGTCCGATAATCCAGGATTGGAACTACAGCTATGTGCCGTTCGAATCCAGCTCAGAACAAACACCAGGCCGGCTGTATGTAAGTTCCAACAGGGATCTGCTTTATTGAATGCACACACACACTTTTATACACCACAGTTTGAACAACCTGCCCAAACCAACACCTTCCTATTGGCCATGCAAATGAAGGCTTGAAGCAGAGTCAGCAGGGATTGGTCCGATAACTTGAAGGGGAGGGCTGATATGTGTGGCCATGCAAATGAGGACTTGAAACAGGGTCAGCAGGGATTGGTCCGATAACTTGAAGGGGAGGGCTGATATGGGTAATGACACAGAGAAGTCCCAGGAGATAATTACATTACATAAACAACAAACAGAACAATGCCTTACTTCCAGACCACGGAGCCGTTTGGAGGGGATTACCCTTAAGACAAACTGAACAATGAAACAAACACAGAGTGATTCAACCCTAAGACAGGGTGGAGGACCCACCACTGTGTAATATAGTCAA